ATGTCCACCCAAGGTCACCAATGTCCACCTGGAGGTGCCACCACTGATCAGTCCCAGGAGCTTGGGGAGACCTTGGGGACACCTCCAGGGCCACCACCGGGCCACCAGAGGTCACCGGGGGCCACCAAAAGTCACGAGATGTCACCCGAGGTCACCATTGTCCACCCAGAGTCACCCAAAGTCACCAATGTCCACCCAAGGTCACCAATGTCCACCCAAGGTCACCAATGTCCACCCAAGTCCACCCAAGGTCTCTGGAGGTGCCACCACTGGTCGGTCCCAGGAGCTCGGGGACACCAAAGCGATGTCACCTGGCCCAGGTGAGCCCTTGGTGACGTCACCATGGAGCTCCAGGGCCACCCCAAGGTCACCAGGTGTCACCAAAGGTCACCAATGTCCACCCAAGGTCACCCAACTCATCACAAGGTCTCTGGAGGTGCCACCTCTGGGTGGTCCCAGGAGCTCGGGGACACCTTGGGGACACCTTGGGGACACCTCCAGGGCCACCCCAGGGTCACCAAAGGTGGCCCCAAGGTCACCAGGTGTCACCCAAGGTCTCTGGAGAGTGCCAGGTGTGCCCAGGTGTGTTACCTGTGCCAGGTGTGTGCCCAGCTGTGCCCAGGTGTGTTACCTGTGCCCAGGTGTGCCCAGGTGTGTCTCACCTGCCCCACGATGTCGGAGACGTGGCTGACGGTGGTGCCCGAGGCGGCGCCCAGGTACAGCACCCGCGCCCCCGGCCGGATGTGGATGCGGTCGATGCCGCCCAGGATGGCGGCGGCCAGCTTGGAGCGGAACGGGTTCCAGGCGCGGTACTCCACCGACGCCTCGCCCTCCTGCAACCAGTACAGACCAGTATAAACCAGTATGGACCAGTATGGAGTGATACAGACCAGTATAGACCAGTATAAACCACTATAGACCAGTATAACCCAGCTTGGAGCGGAACGGGTTCCAGGCGCGGTACTCCACCGACGCCTCGCCCTCCTGCAACCAGTACAGACCAGTATAAACCAGTATGGACCAGTATGGAGTGATACAGACCAGTATAGACCAGTATAAACCACTATAGACCAGTATAACCCAGCTTGGAGCGGAACGGGTTCCAGGCGCGGTACTCCACCGACGCCTCGCCCTCCTGCAACCAGTACAGACCAGTATAAACCAGTATGAACTGGTACTGACCGGTATAAACCAGTATAGACCAGTATAAACCAGTATAGACCAGTATAGACCAGTATAAACCGCTATAGACCAGTATAACCCAGCTTGGAGCGGAACGGGTTCCAGGCGCGGTACTCCACCGACGCCTCGCCCTCCTGGAACCAGTACAGACCAGTATGAACCAGTATGAACCAGTATGGACCAGTACGGAGTCATACAGACCGGTATAAACCAGTATAGACCAGTATAAACCGCTATAGACCAGTATAACCCAGCTTGGAGCGGAACGGGTTCCAGGCGCGGTACTCCACCGACGCCTCGCCCTCCTGCAACCAGTATGGACCAGTACAAACCAGTATAAACTACTGTACACTGGTATAGACCAGTATGGACCAGTATGGACCAGTATAAACCAGAACGGATCAGTATAAAATGGTACGGACTGGTATGAACCAGTATAAACCGGCACAGACCAGTATAAACCAGTACAGACCAGTATAAACTGGCACACACCAGTATAAACCGGCACGGACCAGTATAAACTGGCACGGACCAGTATAAACTGGCACAGACCAGTATAAACCGGCACAGACCAGTATAAACCAGTACAGACCAGTATAAACTGGCACACACCAGTATAAACCGGCACGGACCAGTATAAACTGGCACGGACCAGTATAAACTGGCACAGACCAGTATAAACCGGCACAGACCAGTATAAACTGGCACGGACCAGTATAAACTGGCACAGACCAGTATAAACCGGCACAGACCAGTATAAACCCCCATGCGCTAGTATGAACCAGCCTGAACCAGTATGGACCCGTATAAACCAGTATAGACCAGTATAGACCAATATAAACTGGTATGGACCAGTATGGACCAGTCCCCCCAGTCCCATTCCCAGTCCCTCCCAGTATAAACCAGTCCCTCCCAGTATAAACCAGTCCGTCCCAGCCCCAGTCCCCCCCAGTCCGTCCCAGTATACCCCAGTCCCGTTCCCAGTACAAACCAGTCCTCCCCAGTATAAACCTGTCCCTCCCAGTCCCTCCCAGTATCCCCAGTCCCTCCCAGTCCCTCCCAGTATCCCCAGTCCCATTCCCAGTCCCTCCCAGTATAACCCAGTCCCATTCCCAGTCCCCCCCACTACAAACCAGTCCCATTCCCAGTCCCCCCCAGTACAAACCAGTCCCATTCCCAGTCCCCCCCAGTCCAAACCAGTACAAACCAGTCCAAACCAGTCCCCCCAGTGCCCTCACCTCCACGCTGATCCGTTTCTCGCCGTACACCGACTCTCCCGGCACCAGGTTCCGCGTCACCAGCGCGTCCTCGCGCCCGCGGCAGATGAACACACCTGGGCAGGTGAGCGACAGGTGGCACAGGTGGGACAGGTGAGGGACAGGTGAGACAGGTGAGAGATCTCACACACACCTGGGCAGGTGAGCGACAGGTGGCACAGGTGGGACAGGTGAGGGACAGGTGAGACAGGTGAGAGATCTCACACACACCTGGGCAGGTGAGCGACAGGTGGCACAGGTGGGACAGGTGAGGGACAGGTGAGACAGGTGAGAGATCTAATACACACCTGGGCAGGTGAGCGACAGGTGAGCGACAGGTGAGCGACAGGTGAGACACCTGAGACACCTGAGAGAGCTAATGTATACCTGAGAGACATCTGAGATACACCTGGGCAGGTGAGTGACAGGTGAGCGACAGGTGAGAGACCTGAGAGACCTGAGAGACCTAACACACACCTGGGCAGGTGAGCGACAGGTGAGGGACAGGTGAGAGATCGAATGTACACCTGAGGTACACCTGAGACAGGTGAGGTACACCTGGGACAGGCGAGGGACAGGTGAGGGACAGGTGAGAGATCGAATGTACACCTGAGGTACACCTGAGACAGGTGAGGTACACCTGGGACAGGTGAGGGACAGGTGAGAGATCGAATGTACACCTGAGGTACACCTGAGACAGGTGAGGTACACCTGGGACAGGTGAGGGACAGGTGAGAGACAGGTGAGAGACCTGAGAGACACCTGAGATACACCAGGGACACACCTGGGACAGGTGAGGAACAGGTGAGACAGGTGAGAGATCGAATGTACACCTGAGGTACACCTGAGACAGGTGAGGGACACCTGGGACACGTGAGGGACAGGTGAGCGACAGGTGAGACACCTGAGACACCTGAGAGATCTAATGTACACCTGAGACACACCTGGGACAGGTGAGCGACAGGTGAGGGACAGGTGAGGGACAGGTGAGGCCCCTGAGAGACCTAGCACACACTGGGGATACACCTGATACACCTGTGCAGGTGAGGCAGGTGAGGGACAGCTGAGAGATCTAACACACACCTGGGACACACCCGAGACACACCTGGGACACACCTGAGACACACCTGAGACAGGTGAGACAGGTGAGACACCTGAGACACACCTGAGAGACACCTGAGATACACCTGAGATACACCTGAGATACACCTGGAATACATCTGAGAGACAGCTGAGCAGGTGAGGGGCAGGTGAGAGATCTAACACACACCTGGGACACACCCGAGACACACCTGAGACACACCTGAGACACACCTGAGACAGGTGAGACAGGTGAGACACCTGAGACACACCTGAGAGACCTAATGTACACCTGAGATACACCTGAGATACACCTGGAATACATCTGAGAGACAGCTGAGCAGGTGAGGGACAGGTGAGAGATCTAACACACACCTGGGACAGGTGAGGGACACCTGAGACACACCTGGACAGCTGAGGGACAGCTGAGATACACCTGAGAGGTCTAACGTACACCTGAGATACACCTGGGGCAGGTAAGACAGGTGAGAGACACCCAAGAGATCTAGCACACACCCGAGATACACCTGAGGTACACCTGGGATACACCTGGGACAGGTGAGACACACCTGGGATACACCTGACAGACCTAATGTACACCTGGGCAGGGGAACAGAGGAACAGGTGAGAGACCTAACGTACACCTGGGATACACCTGGGATACACCTGAGGTACACCTGGGATACACCTGGGACAGGTGAGACACACCTGGGATACACCTGACAGACCTAACGTACACCTGGGATACACCTGGGGTACACCTTGAACAGGTCAGGGATACACCTGGGACAGGTGAGACACACCTGGGATACACCTGACAGACCTAATGTACACCTGGGCAGGGGAACAGAGGAACAGGTGAGAGACCTAACGTACACCTGGGATACACCTGGGATACACCTGAGGTACACCTGGGATACACCTGGGACAGGTGAGACACACCTGGGATACACCTGACAGACCTAACGTACACCTGGGATACACCTGGGGTACACCTTGAACAGGTCAGAGACAGGTGAAAGACACCTGAGAGATCTAATGTACACCTGAGACACACCTGGGGCAGGTGAGCGACAGGTGAGACACCTGAGAGACCTAACATACATGTGACATACACCTGAGACACACCTGGGGCAGGTGAGGGACAGGTGAGACACCTGAGAGACCTAGCATACATGTGACATACACCTGAGACACACCTGGGGCAGGTGAGGGACAGGTGAGACACACCTGGGACAGGTGAGACACACCTGAGAGACCCAATATACACCTGAGATACACCTGAGACACACCTGGGACAGGTAAAACACCTGTACAGGTGAGACACACCTGGGACAGGTAACGCACACCAGTCCCTCCCAGTACAAACCAGTATAAACCAGTTACCCTCGTGCCGGTGCGGCTCCACCCTCACTCCCTCCCAGTGCCCCCCAGTCCCTCCCAGTATAAACGAGGGAACTGGGGATACTGGGAGGGACTGGGAGAGAATTGGGTTATACTGGTTTATACTGGGAGGGAACTGGGTTATACTGGGAGGGACTGGGAGAGACTGGGAAGGGAACTGGGAGGGACCGGGTTATACTGGGATATACTGGGATATACTGGGAGAGAAACTGAGCATACTGGGAGGGACTGGGAGGAACTGGATTATACTGGGATAGACTGGGATATACTGGGAGCGACTCAGAGGGGAACTGGGAGGGGAACTGGGTTATACTGGGTTATACTGGGAAGGACTGGGATATACTGGAAGAGAAACTGGGGATACTGGGAGGGAACTGGGAGGGACTGGGAGGGACATTGGGTTATACTGGGATATACTGGAAGGGGAACTGGGTTATACTGGGATATACTGGGAGGGGAACTGGGTTATACTGGGAGGGGAACTGTGTTATACTGGGAGAGACTGGAATATACTGGGATATACTGGGAGGGGAATTGGGTTATACTGGGATATACTGGGATATACTGGGTTATACTGGGAGGGGAATTGGGTTATACTGGGATATACTGGGATATACGGGGTTATACTGGGA